GACAAGGTCCGGTTAGCCCTGCCAACCATGACCTCGCATTGTCGGCCCATGTTCATCTTGGAGTCAATAATGACTCCAAGATCTCTTTCTGCCTCCGTGCTCTCAAGTAGGGAGTTCCCCATTGTGTAAGTGTGCTGCTGGTTCCTACTGCCCAAGTGCAGCACCCTGCACTTGTCCGTATTTCTTTGTGGTCATGTGCCAGTGCAGGTTATACAACTGCATTAAGAGCAGTTTGTTAAAAAGTCAAAGAAAAGGTGAGAGAGTCTATCCTCTTCCATGAGGGTGCAGGAAAGGCAGCATCTCCTCGCTTTATTCTCTCTACCCAGGGGATAGGATCTGCAGTCAATGTAAAATCACTCTGTGCACATAATGGAACACAGGAGACTGTATCTGTGCTATGCACAGGATTGCCGAAGCTCAGCACTAAGCACATCACAACTGTGCAAGTAGACCATCCCAACAGAACAGAATGATAGGGTGCAAGCTTGGGAGGCTGTTTGCTACCAAATGCAATCTCCATTTCTGAAAAGAATCCAGATCTGAACACCATATAATATGGAGGCAGCAGCCAACCACCCCCACTGGTATAACTGGGCATTGGATGAAATCCACATTTTAAATTACCAAGGAAATGCATTCTCTCTCTCCCTAAGAGTTTACACCATGCTCATCCCCAGGAACAGGTGGTACGAGGACCTGACTACTGATCACATCCCAACTCCATTTTCACTTGCTGTTCCATGCAGGAAGCCTCCAGCTCCCTGGCAGGAAGTACTCCCATTCCTACTGACTGCACGCACTGGGTAAAGAGCAAGCTGCAAACACTGCTGAAAGTCTTCACCAGACCAGAAATTCTAGATCAATGTCCAAGTTATTTCTGAATGAAGCATAAATGCCTTTTAATCACTTCCTAATTGATACATGTAACAATATATTAAAGTTCCAGAAAATAGATGTACCATGCAAAATGTAAATAAGCAAGTGGACTCAGCTACTGTATCACAGCTGAATGGGAACAGGATCTCTCTGCCCTCTTGAAATACAAGGTTAAATTGCTCATTTTCTCTTGTGGCAGACAAACTGGTGTAGAAATGTGTGCACTCTCTGGATTCCCCTGTTGTCTTCTAGCTGTTCTGACCACAGAAGCTGAAATGTAAAAACTGCTTTCCTGCCAGCCCAAATCTTTCCCTATATCTAGTCCTTAAATGGTTGATCAACCCACTGGACAGAGAGGAGACCAACTCCTAACCAAAACTTCCCACACCAATTAACCATCTTCCCTCTGAAAAAATGAAGTGATACTCACTTCAATGCTTCAGCTTCCTTTAATTCACTAAATTAAACAAAATGCAACACAATGCTTCCATTTAGTTTCCATTTTCTCTGATAATGTTCCATATCAAACACTTCAGAGGAAGGTGTAAAAACATGATAGCAGACAATTATTAAGTATTTTGCCTGCAGGGGAAATTTCTTCCAGTCAGATAGTGGCTGTGGTTAGCTTATACCATGCAACATAATTCTCTCTGCCCCAAGTGACACAACTGAGAATTATTTCATAATCCAGACCAGCCCCCTCTTCCACAAGAATTCCACAAGTTAGTTATGCATTGTGCAAAAAAATAGTTCTGATGATTGGCTTCAAATTTGTTAAAGGTTTGTAACACATGGCCTGACTTTGGCTCACCACTCTAGCCTGGTGTTTTCCAGACTACCCACCAAATAAATGAAATGGAATAAAACAGATTAAGCCCTTTGGAATAATAGCAGCAGATCTTTTGCACTTTGGTGTATAAATAAAGCATAGAGTAGTATTCTGAGTGTTTGGCCAGCTTTGTAGTGGTAGGTTTCTGTTGAATAGCAGACTAGCAAACAGAAAGAGGTGTATGAATTACAGAATATAAAAGAAGTTCAACAGCCTTGAAGAGAGACTTTGTGTATTTGACAAGAGCTAATTAAACAAAATTTAACAATTCAAAGCCCATAAAACCTGGACAGAAGATAGAACAGCTCTAGCCAGTCCTTCCCAATGCAGACTCTGTCAATGTTTAAACAACACCTACAAGTAAAAACTGTGCTGAGACCATAGCTAGAAAGGGCTTAACCATTCATGTGCCTTCTTCACTGGGGATGGCCCACTGCTGCGCTCACACTGGCTTTTGTTCCTGGCTGAGGTTCTGTTCACAGGAAACAACCTTTGGGCTGCTTTGTTCAACCCAACCTTAATCAGCCTCCTCCTCTGGTTCCAACAAATCTCTTCAGCTGGGGGTGATCAGAAAGAAAGGCCACTGTACACCATGGAGAGATAGGGCTGCATTCACAGCAAGTCATGATAAGCACTTCCTTTCCAAACATCCCATTCCCCAAACATAACAAACAGTAGCCAGAATACATGTCAAGCAAATTAACGAAACTGGACAAATAAAACAGAAGCTTGCAAAGATAAAGGCAGCTGAGGTCAGCAACTGAACATGACAGAAGGCATCCTTCAGGCCCTGTTCCCTCAGCTTCAGACTCAGCATACAGTACAGGGAAGGTTTAAAGCACAGGCCCCAAAGGCTACTCACCATACTGACAGCGGGCTCCTTGGAAACCAGAGGGGCACTGACATAGCTGAGCAGATCCTTCCATGCAGTTTCCTCCATTGAAGCAAACGCCATAGCTGCAGGCAGCTGCTGGAAGGAAAAAAGAAGTAGCGATTGTGTTGGTCATAGTCAGTACATACAGGATCATGACTTATAAGTTCGGTCATACTGAAGACTCAAACCTCTTAGTAAGTTTAACCAGCACAGAAACTTTACACAACCATTGAACAAATGGTAGCCCAATGTTGGCTAAAGGCAGCAGACAGCATCCAACAAAAGCCAGGAGTTCAGAATTTCTTATGCAGGGAATATTGATGTCTTGAAAGCTGAAAAACATGCAGGAGTACTGGCACCTGGTCCTGTAAGAAACATCACAAGCTTGTTCTAAAACTAATCTCACTGAAAGATGATTTTAACCAGTGCCCCAGTTTTCCCACTGACCAACCTGTGGCATGGGTTCCTCAATGAATTAGAGGCAATAATACCATCCACTGAATCATAAGCATTCCTTTCTATAGCATGGGTGAAGGGGTGTTCCTGGGATGTCTCCAGTGTCCACATTGATCAGATTAACCTTCTTTGGTTTATGAAAGAGAATAGGATAGGGGGTGGAGGGAATATGAGCCATAGTGCTTAGCCCCCATCCCTCCCCCCCCAGAAACCCTTGGGCTAAATTAAAACTGAATAAAAGGCTAGCATTCTCTATTCTGGGCAAGTCCCACTGCAGGAAAGGATTTCTAAAAAGAAGAAACTTTAGAAGGAAATCTCAAAAGCAAGTTTTTCTTACACTCAATTTTTAACCTATTGACGTTCCCCAGCCAGCAGCTCTACAGGTTTAAAGCTATATGTAAGTATTCAAGTGCATTTTCCTAATTTGCTCACTTGCCAGGAACTGAGACATCAGAGGTTGTTCTGTCCCTCTCAGGCAACAATGACTGACATTACCAATGCCAAAGCAGGAGCTAGGCACTCCTTTCAATCTTTAAACCATACTAGAATGCTAGTGATGTCCATCATGAGAAAAACATACCACCTTACACCGCTCGCTTCCCAACTCAGATGCCTCTCCATTCTCTTAGAAGTGATTGCAGCCAACAGAGAGGAGCTAGCACCATCTCCCACTAGAGTACTTGCTCTGTGTTTGAATTTGCAGGGACATTCAGTTTTCCTATTGGAGACCCAGGAGCTTAGAAACAGATAAGCTGAGCTCTGCTTCTCACTCCATCATTAGGCAAGCTGCTTCACTGCTCAGCATCTCAGTTTCTCTGGCCTTACCTACACTAGAAGGAATGTGCCAATAACAGCTACGCTGACAGAGCTATATGGGCAAACCCTTCTGGGGAACAGGCCTTTTGCTGGTATTGTTTGTACTGGTTCCTCAGATGAAACAAGCTATGCCAGCAAGGAGATTTTTTGCCCATGTAACTGCCTCTGTGCTAGGACTTTTGCCAGCAAACTATGTGGTGAAGGGGGTGGTATTTTTCAGGCTTCTGGCTGACACAACAATAATGGAAAACCTATTAAGAATGGCCACGTCCCCTATTTGTAAAATGGAAATAATAACCCCCACCTAGCTCTCACGGGCTCTGAGAAGCTTAACTCCTTAGCGCTTGTAAAGCACTTCAAATAGCTAAATAAAAGGTTTTAGGAAAGTTCACAGTGGTACTTTTTAGGCAATATATTCAAGGACCACATTCTGATGGGGCCTGAGTACCCATGAATGGCAGATACTTTGCATTTCTCCCAATCCTGCACTAGGTATGTTCTGTGGAACAAGCAGAAGGTAAGAAATGGATCCTGCAAAATAATCACATAAAACAACTCAGGTGACTGGAATAACCATGGTCAAGAATGTTCTGCTTAAAGTAATAGCTTATCCGAGGTAACTACACTAAAATACTAAGAATTCAAAGGGGTACTTCTGTGAAGGTCCAAAATTTATAAGAGCCAGTTGTTCCCTTGAACTTGGTCCATCTGCAGTATAACAGAAACCGTGGCACTGAACATAGAGTTGCTGACAGCAAGTAGCAACTTCTATCTTTGTAAACTTCCTGAATTCCATGCATAACAGCAGGGCAGCTGATTTCTGAGATCTTAAAGGCCTCAGTTCATTCTGCAAAGGAGCTTCTGGTCACAGGAGTGAAATGTGCACAGAACACCACAACAGGATTGTTCTGTGGCAAACCCCAACCAAGAATCAGAGCCTGACCCCTACTCACTGCAGGCTGCCCTACAGCACCTCCACCCCAGAGTTAAAAACTCAGCATCCCAGACATACATAGGCAAATCCCACCACAGTGAATCACATATAGACCCAGAAATGCTACGTGCAGTTTTTGTTGGATACAGCAGTCTTCTTCATTTCCTGTCCTTGAACATTGTTACAGTGTTGATTTACCCAGTTAAATAGTAG